ATTTTTATGATTTTTCTAGTACTTACGAGACTTTTCTGTTAAACACCAAAAAAAATCCTATTTTTCTTCTTTAACATTAACAGCCGCTTATTGTAAATCAGTAAATTAAGGACGGCATGGCGAATCGATTTTGACATTAACTGACAAACCAATGACTGTGATACCAACTATCTAAAGTAAAATTCGACTAAATTAAATTTAAGGTATGAAATTAATTTTTTTTTTTAGAAAACAGGCTAAAAACTTCCAGAAAGGTGAAAAAAAAATCCTCTAAAAATTTGAGCTCTTAATAATAACATTAAGTGGTGCCTGTTCCTAACTTTCCATTTTCCATTTAAATAACATGGAAAAAAAATTCTTTTTTCTTATTTTTGTATCTTGACATTTAAGCATTGTAAAAACGAACTGAAAAATTATTTTGGTAGGAAATTGAACGCTTTACAAAAAAGTACTACTTTATTTTTTCATAAAGTAAGCCGTTCTGAAAGAATTCAAACTTGCAAATGTATGAAATTGTGACTTATTTTATTAAACTAATACTTTTTTTATGTCTTAAAAATTATTTTAAGAAAAAATAATTATTTTCGTATAGAAAGAAAACAACAATTTTTTTTTCATTTTATTTTATTTACTATCAAAAAAAGTTATTTCTGTTCAATAAATTTGTTCAATAATTATAATAGATTAAATAAAACAATGAATTTGTTATTGTATTGAATTTTTATTCTTTCTTTATTTTTTATAATTTTAAAGTCAATAATTCTGATAAAAGATTATATCGGCTCAGTCAGTATATATACGGTAATATATTACCGTTCGGATTACACAGGGACAAGAGGCACGCTAACGTGCCGCGATTCGAAATGTTAAAGGCAACTTTAAGTTTGAATACCTTCAGAACGGCTCACTCTATGAAAAAAAATATTGAAACTTTTTTGTAGAGCGTTCAATTTCCTACCAAAATAATTTTTCAGTTCGTTTTTACAATGCTCAAATGTCAAGCTAAAAAAAAAGAAAAAAAAATTACATGTTATTTAAATGGAAAATGGAAAGTTAGGAACAGGCACCACTTAATGTTAATATTAAGAGCTTAAATTTTTAGAGGTTTATTTTTTCACCTTCCTGAAAGTTTTTAGCCTGTTTTTTAGTTGAAAAAAGGTTGCTTAAAAATGACACACACTAGTGTACACCAAAATGTAATTTGTTTCCTGAATAATTTGTTTACCTAATTCCTAATTGAAACTGTTATTACAAAACAATATTGTCCATTGTTGGGATTCAATGGTTGAATAGTGTTTACCCGGATAATCTTAAATGGATTACACTGGCAATCGTTTAATTTCCTTCCCGCTTCGAACCGCAACAAGCGATTCGTATGGATTTGGATAACATCGCCTCGACGCTGTCGAAGGGAAAGTTCGAAACCGCAACAATTTCGAGGCGTCACGTACCCGAAACTTGACAACTACCATAACTACGGCTCGGCTGTTAATACGCAATACGTTCAATCACCAATCAGCCTTTGAATCAGACCCAGGGGTCACGTTTGTCAACACGTTCAGGGTGGGTGCGCGAATAGACAGTTTGGGCTTAATTAACCGGATTATGTTATGTATTAGCTAAATTAATTTTCGGATAAACCGAAAAAATTAATATACACAATATAATAACTTTGTTATTTCAAATAGATCACCCTATATAATAATAATAATAATAATCTTTATTGCACAAAAATATAAATAAAAACAATATTTTATACAATGGCGAGAATGGGGTAGTTAAATTTTTTCTGACCTATACTTTTTATGGTTTTATTCAAGGCGTTTTGTAATATTAAACATTTCTGTGAAATCAGAATTTCAATTGAGTTTACCGTTTTCGAGATATTTACAAAAAATATAAATTTTTATGATGTCACAAACCTCGCCATGTGACCAACATTCTAAGATTTCTATTGGTTGAAAATTACCCTGTTGTCAAGTTGTCTTGTAAATGATTTCATTCGGTTATGTCAGAAAATACCCGAAGAGGTTATGTACAAATACTGTAACTGTCAGTTGAGTGAAAGATGGTCACCAAATTCATTAAGTACCTATCTTCCTTATCAGGTATCATATTACTGTTTAATATTTTAGAGTCCAAGATATATCTAAAAGAATATAAAGAACTAGGCATTATACTAATAAAATGCATTTAAGACAAAATATGATTATAATTATAGGTAGGTACTTACTTTATTTGTTTAAAAGCTCCAATGTTCAATGTAACCAACCATTCCACAAGATTCCTCTGCTTTGGAGTCCGCTATTAATAAATCACTTATCTAATATCAATTACAAATAACATAACAATAACATTGATTTTCAATAATCTAAATTAAAAAAAAAACATAACCCGAAAAAAAGAAACGTCAAAAAATCAATTCTTCTTCTTCTTCTCAACTAAAATTATAGATCAAGTTGTTTTAAAACTAAAATATTATAACGTGGCGCCATATATCGTAAGAATCTTAAACTAAACACACTGGCAATCATAGAAAAAGCTGGCAACGTTGTCAATAGCCTAGTGACGTAATTAGGAGATTTTTTTTTGTAAATATCTCGAAAACGGTAAACTTAATTGAAATTCCGATTTCACAGAAATGTTTAAATTACAAAACGCCTTGAATAAAACCATAAAAAGTATAGGTCAAAAAAAATTTAACTACCCCATTCAGCTGATGCTGTTCTTCCATTCTAAACCTACTTAATAATACAAAAAAATAACAAGGTAGATTGGTAAAAAATACATACCTACAAAAAAATATATTAAAATTTTACTACACCAAAATTGACTAGCTTGTTCCCTTAGCAAAGTGGATTGGAGTATTTTCTTAAAACTATTTACAGAGTATGTTGAGTTAAAAACATCGTGATACTTGTTCAGAATCTTTACTGCAAAATAATCAAAGCTTTTCTCAAATTTCGAGGTTCTATGACTAGGAATTGAATAATACTGATTATTTCTTACATTTAAGCTGTGACATTGGTTTCGTTTTATAAGTAAATCGTACAAATAAGATGGAGACTCTGTTTTGACTACTTTAAATACTAAAACACTATATTGTAATAAAATTAGATAGCTGCATTTTTAAAGTGTTGTTTTGAATATAATGACGAGTAATATAATCACGATAATTTGTGTTAAAAGAATATCGAAAACAGCTGTTTTGCAGCTTTTGCACACATTTTTGCCAGTTTTGATCAGCTATAGTAAAATAGACACAGCTACAATAGTTAAAAAGACTTAGAATTACACTACATGACAGTTTCCATTTGACATCACTACTTAAAAAATATTTAAAACTATATATTGACTTGAGTTTGGCATATGCCATTTTAAGTTTGTTTCTTATATGAGAGTCAAATTTTAAATTAGAGTCAAACATAACACCTAGATTTTTAACACAGTCTTTAACACTTATCACATTGTTATTTAGTAAAATATCACAGTTTTTTAACATCAATGCCTGGTTTCTTAAGGTTGGAGTACATATACCTATAGTTTTTGTGGGGTTAATTAACAGTCCATGATTTCTTGACCAAGTACTAATTTCTTTAAGATCTATGTTAATTTGCGACATTGCAGCATTAATGTCCGCTGGTTAAAAAGTTTTATATAACTGCGTATCCGCATACTGGTGCACTAAACAGTTTTTAATGTAATTGCACATATCGGAGGTAAAAATTTAAAATAATAAGGGACCCAGTATGCTACCTTGTGGGACGACCATATGTATATCAGCAGCACATGAACTAACATTGTTAACTTCAACAAATTGTTTTCGATTTGAGAGGTAATTTGAGGCCCATTTGATAGCTGTTGGATGAAAGTTGTAATATTGTAGCTTAGCAATCAACAAATTGTGGTTTATGACATCTAATGCCTTGCTGTAATCCAGTAGTATTTGTATGGTGACTTGAGAATTATCAATACCACGAATCATGTCATTGGTTATCTTGAGTAAAGCTGTGTTTGTGCTAAAATGTTTTCTGAATCCTGATTGTGTTTTTGGTAGGATTCAGAAAATTTCAATTGAAGTGAATGCACGGAAAAATATGTTTTCTTAGTGTAAGAATATATTTATTCTAAAAAAAAATCACTATTCGTATACTTAAATTAAAAATATTTTATTTCTTAGCTTAAAATCAAGTACAGTTGAAACAAGATGATTGACCTAATATTGTCAAGGCTAAAACTAACATTAAACTAAATATTCCAACAATCAGATCTTATTCCTGGCTGTTAAATGTTAAGAAATACTTTAAATGAAATATATATTATAAACCTATACTGGATATAAATATAATTATATATATTCTATGATAACATTCACGAAGGCGGTGTTATAATGAAGTCATTATGAACGCAAAATAGATAAAAACATTTTGTAGATTTAATTATAAAATCCTATGTCAATAATTATTGACGCATTGAACCATATATGGTTGAATTATAATTCAACCATATATGGTTCAATTCTTGACATAGGATTTTATAATTAAATCTACAAAATGTTTTTATCTATTTTGCATAATTCTTGAAATTTTTAAAAAGACCCAGTACCAAAAGTATTTGTTGGAAATTAAATGAAAAGAATTTTGATAAAAAATGTGGTTTAATTAATAAATTTTCTAAAAGAAAAAATTAACACATACATGAACACAAAAATAAGTAATAATTTATGAATGTATATAATTTGTTGTTTTTAGTTAATTTAGGACTCATAGCTACATTACCAAAAATATTCAAATAAAAAAAATATATATGAAATTTGAATACTTTTTTTACAATGTTTCGAAATCAATGGCTCCCCTGTGGCAAACAAAAACACATATTTTTTTCAACAGGTGTAATTATTGTTCATTAAATTTTATTTCGCAATTAATTCCTTATATTTTGTTAAAAATTGCCCAAGCTTTTTTATATTAAACATTAAAGTCAATATTAAATATTCAAAGGTCAAAGGTCAAGGTTAGTTCCAAGATCTAAGCACAAATCTGCGCTCAAGCGAAAATTAAATATTTGCTTATCATGCTAGAATTAAATAAATAGATTTGGTAGACTGTTATATAATAGTATATTATGTATCAAGTTTGATAAACGCCATTTTAGTCACGAATTTAAATTAGGCACAAGCGAGCTTGCAAGCGAGTGCTTAATTAAATAAGTGCCTAGAAAAGTTTAAACTTTTTCTACCACAAATACTTTATATTTCCTAAAAAATAATTAAAATTAAATATTTGTGTAAAACAATATCTATACAAAAATAAACTTCAAAATATGATTAGGTTAAGAATATATTTTATCGTATTACTATAACTGCAAAATATTATCACATGAATTAAAAATTTATACACGGGACATGTTTAAGGTACAAAAAGTGACAGTTGTATTTATTGGAATTCTCCTTAGAATTTCTAACTTGGGAATCTACCGGCGTTAAAATCTCAATTTTTTTTGTGTAAATCAAAATTTACACCTTGAAAATAGACTAAAAATCAATATAGAAGCAGTTTTTCACAATAAAAGAGAAGAGAATGTTTTATGGGCACTGTACGCAAAATTTTTAATGCTTTATCAGTTACTATCAAAATCAATATAATCTTTTCAAATATTGGCGTAAAGAAACTTTTTAATACTTTTGTATTTTTGAATTGAGATAAAGAAATAATCGGAAATAATTTTTACATCAAGTATTATTATTGACATTTAACATCTGTCAACTAACTTCAGTCCGTGACTAAAAACCTGTTGCCAACTTGAGCCAGTGACTAAAGCGCCATAACGCCACAACTTGTCAATGTGTTTTAAATTCTACTATTTGAATTAGTACCAGGATTTTTTACTAATAAATACTTATTTTTTACTACGTAAATAGTTAAGGTTTGACTAATTTAAGATTAGTCACCATCTTTGACTATTTCTGAGAGTTAAAAGTAACTAATTTCTTTAATCGTTTGCGGCCAACAACAAAGTATTATTTGAATTAAATGCATATACCTAAGCCCCATAAATGCCCCATAAAAACAAATAAAAGTTTAGCACAAATAATATATTCAACTTTAAAATATTATGAACCTTATTTATTGACAAATAAAATTGATTTTTATAAGAGCGGCTGATAGCCCAAATGGGTTATGACAACAGCTTGACAAGTGGCAGACCTGAGTTCAATCCCCAGCTGGGTCAAAAGTTTTTTTAAATTTAAATCTACTAATTTGACTATTTCATTCAGTAGAATTTGACTAATTATTAGTGACTGCTTGCCGCTATGACAATTAGTCAAATATGTACGATAATGGGCGTTTTAGAGGTAGAAAGAAAAATATATTAAACATTACCTTTTTTCTGTGTAATGATATTATTTTTTTAGTGGCATTTAAGGTGTTCGGTTAGAAACCTTTTTTTATTAAAATATTTTTACAAAAAAAAATACTGCAACTTGTAGCAAAATTTAAAGATTAAATATACACAGTACACACAAAAAGATCATAGGACCGCAAACAGGAAAATCCGTGGAAAATGTAGGATAACATGCTTTTTATTCTCTGCTTCCTTCAAGATTTACCTTTAATGTAGAAAAAAAAAGAAATCCAATAAACGGAAAAAATCTTATTTTAAATCCGAAAGATACCTTTGCTACACTTTGTACATAATTTTGCATACTTTTTACTTTGCTTTTAACAAAGTGGTTTATTTTAATAAAACATAATTTTTAGAAAAACAAAAAGTAAAACATAGCTGCATGATATCCGAGAATTGGGCAGCTAATCAGCGAAATTGCAGAAGAAGATAGTTAGGGTTTCATCTAGCAAAAGACCAGAATTGGCAAGGTCAATTTAATTAAGCAAGATGGCGAATTTCCCCTGCATCTCGAAGACGTCACGTTTTACAAGTTGACGAGTATAACTACAACTTTCTTGCCATTACACAATTCACTAAATTGCTAATCTGTCTCGGGATGAATACGTTGATAATGTTGTTAGTGTCGAGGCTTAATTAAAATATTAAAACGTTTTCCCCCGTCCCCAATTAAAACTAATAAGATCCAAGAATTCCAGTTTATTTTCAAATATATTCTTATACAATATTTTGCATTGTTTTTTATTGTATACAATAGAAAGTATTGATCTTATGTATTGAAGCCTAAACAGTTTAAATACATTTTTAATAATTTTTTTTTTTGATTTGGTCCCTAAATAAAGAAAAATTATTTAATACAACACAAAATATTCCGAAAATGTTAAAAATACACAGTAAAAAAATATTTGTTAATTTTAACCAAATATTAACCAGATTTTATGTTAATTCAGGTCAACATAAGCAATTGTAATCTGTTAACTAATTAAATAAGTAATTAATAATTCAACCATGATTCTTGTAATTTTTAAAGAGGATCTTATTTTTATAAACCTTTTTGTAGACCCAATAACAAAAATATTTGTTGGAAATTGGGAACTTAATTTAACAGAATTTTGATAAGGAATGCTTGCTTTATTAATTAATTTCCCAAACAAAAAAAAAAACACCAAAATATCATAAATTAACACAAAAATAACATACACACAATTAAATAACACACCATTCTGAAATCATCAAATTATTAAGACATTGACTGATGTATTTCGTAACTTTAACCCACTTTACTGCATCCCGTAATTTCAGTTTAGTTTACAATTTAAAATTCGTTTCTAAAAAATTTATAAACGTTTTGATTTTTTTACACGATATGAACTCACTTTTAATAAATTATTTCAGATGAGCCTACCTACTGAGAAATTGCTAATTTTGTCAGATCCCCTTCATAAAATACGCACGTTGAGGGTGCTTTCAAAAAGCGCCTATCAGAATTTCAACCAATATCGTTATTTTTTACTTGTTCAATTTTGATTGGATAATAATTTTTCCACATAAGAAATTTGTTTTGCATAACTAACCTTTTTATTAAAATTACTACACTGCGTTAAATAACAAAATGAGATGTTATAAGGTGCCTGCATCTTTTATTATAATGGTAACACTAGTTTACAAAATCAAAAAAAAAATTGCCCATTATAATTTTCCCATGTATTTTTACCCACTAAACACGAAAATCACAGTCAATTTTTTTTATGGAAGCGTTTTTGAAATATGAATTTTCAATTGTTTTTTTTTCAATTTTCAGAGGTGTTTTGACGTTTTTTAGTATAGCTTGAAATCTAATTGATCGATTTGGTCAAACAAGCCCTTAAATTGAAGGTATTTGAGCCCTCTAAAACTTTCATAATTTTTTACGCTAGCGATTTTAATAACTTAAAATTCGTTTTTATGGCAAAAATTGAGGTCGAAAATTTACATATCGTCCTGGGAAAGGTTTAAATCATACAGATAACTCCAGTTTAATTTTTTTTTCGTGAAGCTGACATTTTTACAAAAAAAAAACAAATACATGGAAAGATTATGGGTAATTACATTTGGTCCCTCATACGAGAAACTGAATACGAAAGCAACAAAAAACAAAGAAGGAGTCAGAATTTTTTTAAACCTATGCTTATTACAACAAAATAAAACTTTCAATTTCTTCAATGTTCATTATTTATTGTTTAATATTCAATATAATCAATGTTCAATATTAAATTTTATATAATTAAATAAAATAAAGAAAAAACTAAAAAATTCTCAGAAAACTTAATTTTAGTCTTGCACTGAAAAATTCATAACTTCGCTATTTATCCATAGATTTTTATAAACACAGCTTATTTTTTTCCTTTAAATATAATCTATACGTAAAATCAAACTGGAATTATCTTTTCGATTTCTATCTTTCCCAGAAAGATATGTAAATTTTCGACCTCGATTTTTGTAAAAAAAAGGACTTTTTCAACTTCATAAAATCGCCAGTATCGAACTAGTCAGCCGATACCACAACTTTACAAGAGAAAGTTGTAGAGGGCTCAATTACCTTTGATTTAAGTGCTTGTTTGGTCACATCGATCAATTAGAGCTCGAAGTATACTCTAAAACGTCAAAACACCTCAGAAAATTAAAAAAAAAAAAATTGAAAATTCATATCTCGAAAACGCTTCCATGAAAAAAAAATTAAGTGTTATTTTCGCGTTTAGAGAGCCAAACTACATAAGAAAATCATAGTGAGACGCAAAATGGCTATTACCTACTTAGGTTTAGTAAGTATTATTTTAATAAAAAACTTAACCATTAAGACCCACATAAAATTTATAATGACTATTTTCCTTCGATGGTATCAAGTTGATTTGAAAAACTTTAATGTATACGTAAAACTTTTAAGTTCAATATATTAAGGTATTTTTAACGACCTAAAATACAATGCATATTCTATTACATAAACTTGCATTGCTTATTTTAAACTTGAAACTCACTAAATAAATTTAATCTATCAATATTAATTAACTTAATTAATAGACTTGAATTTTATTTCTAAATTACAAAAAAAATATTATCTCACAAGAATGTAGAACACCATGTCACTTGGATGCTCTTCATTGTAAGATTTACTCCAACGATACAGACATGCATTAAAACAATTACAGCGTAGTAGTTGTTTGGTTAATTACTGATGTTTGCTTGATTGTGTTTGCCTTATCAGCCACCATCTTGAACGGAATGCAAAGCAGCCTTTACCAACTTTTGTGTGCATGCCCTTTATCTGATCCTTTTTCAGGCTTGTTTTGCAATATGTTTTTAATTGCACTAATTTTAGACTTTTTACATGGTTTTTAATTAAAGGTTGCTTTTTTATTAATTGTGGTAACTGCGACTTTGATCGTTGTCGTGATATAAAGGACATCGTAAATTTCCTTTTGTGTAAATATCTACAAATGAAAGGAAAATTACAATGAACACAAAAACTCATTTATAAAAGTCTAAAAGGCTTTAATTAAGCTCAGGTAAATTAATTTTCCTGAAGAATATATAAATGTAAATAATAAGTGTATGCTAATTAAATTTCGTTA